CTCTCTCTCTCTCTCTCTCTCTCTCTGCTCTTTCTCGGTCCATCGAAATTATCTTTGACCAGGTTAGCCTTCAAGTTCCATCTCTCTCTCTCTCCTTCTGTTTTTCTCGTTGTTGCTTTTCGCCAGCCTTCGTCCCTTTTGTACTTTCCTTTATACCTTCCTTATCGAGAGAGTCTCTCTGTTCGGGAAACCGAGTATCGAGAAGTTGGTCCAACTTGGTTTCGGCTGAAACACTGCCGTGTTTTTTGCGTTCGATCGTTCTCGCGGTTGGACGTTTCGAAGGAATACGAATACCATATTTACCTCTCGTTCCAGAGACTGCTCTACTCTTCTTCTTTCGGCGCTCTTTTTCGTTTTGCTTCTCGACGTTGTTGCTCGTAACGGTTTAGCCGGGATAATGAAATCATCATCGTCGAGGAGGAATACCAGATCGCGTATGCATTAACGAGCAATCGAATCGAACACGCAGAGAATGTAAATGCGCGTCTTGTGGCGTAGAATCGTTTCGTCGAAACCGTGTTGGGAGATATCGGATCGCGCGACGAAGGGAGACGACGAAGGGTGAGAGATAAAAGAAAAAAAAAGTAAACAGGATAGAAGCGGGAATTTAGCAATGTGAATAGAACGCAAAAGAAAAAAAAGGAAAGAAAAGAAAAGTCGAGGAGTGGGAGGGGTAGCGATTACGATAAGAAGAAGAAGAAGAAGAAGAAGAAGCCTCGAGGACTCGAGGCACTCGAAGGGGTGGGAAAGGGCCTCGTCGGGATGGGGGGAACGGACAACAAAAGGAGAAGAGAAACCGTCGTCGCGAAGGACAATGTTCCGAAGAGTGAAAAACAAGACGCGCGACCGCGGAGGAATCCATTCGCGGCTTGCTTGTTCGTTGAACGACAATTAAGCGAATTGCACACTCTAGCGGATCCACACTTCCCTTTGCTTTTTAATGAAGGACCCTTCTTTCGAGGAAGAAGAAAAAAAAAAAAAAAAGAAAGAGAAGAGAAAAAGAGTCGTGCGTCGTTCCAGTTTTATTTCCGTTCAACTTTTACACCGCATTCTATGTCCTACTGCGATTATCGCCGATAACAAATTGCGAACTGCGAATTCAAATCGATGCTTTGAATTCTTTCGCGATCTTTCGCCCTTACTTCGACGATTTCAATTGGATTTTTAGCAAGCAGTTACAGTTGTTACGTAGCTGTGTGACTGCTTGTTAAATTAAATTAAAAAGGATTTGCAATACTTACGCTATAGAGGAAGAGATTCGTCTCGTATTCGGCCTTCTTCTCGGAATTACCGCCGCCCACCATCGAGTCTCCATCTCCGCAGGTGCCACCGCCATCGCCTGAAACAACACGCAACGTGCTCTTCAAACTTTTCCTTTCACTTTGTTTCGCTCCGTCTCTGTCTAATTCTATTTTATTAATGCAGCTGTAAGAAACACGGAGTCTCACGACTCCCAAGTGGCCTGCAAACGGAGAGCAATAGAGTAAAATGGCGACTGAATTTAACCTAAACCTAACCTAAATCGTCTGAAAAGTAGTTTGTCCGTTTGATTTGAATATCTATGCGATAAAAAGTTTCGATAGAAATGGAAGCTGCAAAGTTTAATCAATAGGCGTCGAAAGAAAAGCAAGCATATATCTTTCCTTCTTCTTTTCTTTCTCACGCATTCGCGGTTGCAATTGGAACGCCAAGTAAACTTCGATCGAGAATTTTGTTTGAAATTTTCTTCCCTACCGTACGACTATCGACAGAGTAGACAAATTCCTTCGTTTCCTTCGTTTTGCAAATCGAAGCGAGATACGTACAACGGATGATACGTGGGAAAGAAATTATTTCTTTCTATCGTTTCCGATAAGATAAACCGTCAACAGTTATTCCGAGAAAATTCCAGTAAGTAACCGAGAGCCTCCCACCTAGCTCATGTTCATCTCTGTGTCGAAAAATTGTAAAATCGTTTGCCGCGTTGTTCCGCCATTCCGCATTCGTTTCGTTCGTTCGCAGCTGAGAATCGAACGGAGCGGCCAAGTTTCAGATACATCTACGGAGATTTTTGAGAATTTCGACGCGAAAAGTGCAAAAAAGTGGCGTCTTCTCTTTCGAATCTCAGCGAATTGTCGTTCGATTTTGCGCGCGACGCGATCGATCGGAGCGCGACCATCGACGCGAAGCGAACTCCTTCGACTTTCTTCGCGCGGAAACGCGATTGTTTATCGGTGGGAA